TATAAAACAATGCATCTTACTTTACTGTATCTATCCACTTGTCAACCATAAAGCCAGCGATTTCTATATTTGAAATGATCAGTCTAGTGTTAATATGCAAATTCCAGTCTAGTCTAAAGTCATACATCAAATTTACTCTCACTGGACATGTGTAACAGATCTACATTAACAAAACTCACTAAAGAGATCTGTCTTAACAATTGAAGCATTTCAGTTACACATAATCCCACATAATCCTGGCATCCAAATGACAATCCATCAAAACATAATCCAAACAAAATTACACTAAACCACATGCGCATAATCCTGAATCTAATTCTTTAAAACAATAGTATTAATTGAGCAGTAAAAACATGTAGCAGTATTCACATTGGACATAGCAGAAAGTGTCCAGTGATGTTTAGCGTAATGCTTGTGACAACACTTGCTTTGATTAAGTCAGAAATAAAGATTTTACCTACACTAATGAAATTAATATAACAAATATTTTTTTTCAAACCATGACAATTCTTCCCTGAAATGTTAGGGAGTTTGTATGATTAACTGTGTAGGTCTACATTTTTTTGTGAAACAAAATAAGGATTATGCTGGTTTCAAACTAATATTACGCCCAATAAATCTTGCCCTATTGAAAATAAAAGGATAGTTAAAATATGTCTATTTAATAAAATGCATAAAAAAAATAATTAAATTTCAATCTTTTTTTAACGTTGACAAGTAAACTTGGACTAAACTCAGTCTTTAAATTTTCATTTTTTAAAATGTTAAACTGGCTGCACTGGTTTGTCATCCGTAAAATTAAAAGCTGCCTTGATGTCATTTGCGATGCCTTTTCAAGATTGAAGACTAAAAACATAACAAAAACAACTAATGGAATTCTTTCCATACATTTGCAGTCAAACATAACAGCCAATGTGAAATTAGCAGAAGCTTGAAAGCTATATAAGACAGTAAAAGTTATACAATTTTATAGAGACCAAAGAAACAAGAATTATTTATAGCCAATAAATGCAATGGAAATGATATTAATAAATTTATAATTAGTAAACTAAAACATGGAAACATGTCGAAATAGAAATTTAAACTTGTATATAAAGCAGAGCAGTGTACATTAATTGCCCCTGGATAACCTGAGTTATGTGCCCCCAGATTTCTCTTTCAAATTTTATACAGTTGTCCCTCATTTATCGCTCAATTTGTCCCTCAATTAATTAGTTCCAGACTACTGCGATAAGTGAATTTCCATGAAGTAGAATTCTTTATATATAAATCAAATATTTTATTGTTAGAGCATAGACCTTCTGGGGTGTTCAAATGCTTAGGCCAACAGTCCACACAAAAAGTAATTTTAATTGTAATAAAGGGGCGTATGATTGACTCAGAGAACCAAGTATGTGCTATATCATTTTGATGATCTTGATCAACATTTTAATGAATACATGTTATATTTGAAAAAAGCGATAGAGTGAAACCGCAAAAGTTGAATCGTGAAGAGGCGAGGGACGACTGCATTTTCAAAATGTCCAATACTGTGGGGTCTTACAAACCGACTTGGATACTAATGTAAAAATATAACAAATCATTATCATTGCAGGAACATTCTTCAGCCATTTGCCAGACAACAGTGTTGAGAGTTCAAAACATCTCAACATTTAGAGTCTCAAGATTTTCCTAATGTCAATAAGTTGAGAAAGTGTTACAAAATTATTTTCTAGTTCTTGATTTTTGTTATCTTTATTAAATAAAGAGAGTATTTAGAGGTTTATTGAATGAAAGACTGTCAACAGCAATGTGACGCCAATTGAAAACAAGAATAAATGTCTCCACTTTCATTTCCCAGCTTGGCTCATTGAAAGTAAAACTAAAATATTTACTATGCACCAGATTTGAAAAATTTACACTATAAAGAAGCTAAAATAATGTAAAATTTTAGTCAAGCTTTTTCCTCATTCAAATCCTTTAGTTTAGAAACTGCTGAACTAATTATATTTAAGCAAGCTCTCACTAAGCTACACTGTCTATTTACTTTAATTATAATTACTTTAGTCATACTTCCGTATGCTTATAGAATTAATAAGAAAATAATGAAAATAATAATACATTAGAAATTATCAGTAAGCAATCCAGCAATTAAAACAGAAGACGAGCATTAAATGTTAAACGTATTTGAATATTTAAGTATGAACATGGTAGTTCATAGAAAAGTGTCAAAGATTTTTTCACTGCAGTTGTTTCTCAAACAACATACCCTCCCATGGCTTCCAAAGTTTATTTTTTTTTTAAAATTCTCTAATTAAATGGAATTTAGATTTTGCTTAAACTTAAAGAAACCTAAAAAAATTTTTCTTTGAATTGCTTTACGATATAACTGAGCTGAATTATTTAATGAAATGAAAAACTTTTAATGTAAAAATCAATGTGAGTTGTAGATATTCAATTTTCTAACTGATTAATTGCTAATAAACACAACTGTATAAAATAAAACACTTGAGTTTGGGTACACATGTACAAGAAAAAATAAATAAAAAAAGCCTGCAAAACATATATTAAGATACTTAGCCCTATTTGGAATGCTAAAATCAACCAAGCCGTATACATAGTATTCTAATGTGTCCACATTCCCCAGAGGTCCAAAAGCCTCCGTAGGATATCAAATGAGATAAAAAAAGAAATTTAAAATCATACGATTGTGCCTTTTTCCATTATTTTTCATCCTGAGGAAACTAACTCTCTACCTTCTAAATAATTTTCGAAGTTAATGAAGATATTGCTCTTCCAAAAATAAAGTTTTCCTTATTTCATACAACCTTTTTAATCATAACTAGAGACCATTAGCCACAAATGTATTGGTTTATTTTATAATTAAAATTCAAAAATAATAAATGTATTGAATAATTTAAAAGAGTTAATGTTAAACAAGATTTAGATAAAATTATTTAGGAAATAATTCTGTCTGAATTCCTTTTCATTTTCTTTATTTTTAAAATCATCTTTTATTAGATTTAAGAAAATTAGCCCTGTTAAATACCACCTTTCCTACTGGAACATTCAATTGATTTATTCAAATCTTAAAGATTATAAATATCTCAGGCTTATTCTGCTCCCCATCCCCATATTAAGTTTACATACAGATATCTTAAAGGTGGCATTCACCTGTCAATGACTAACTTACACAGTGATACTACATAAGAGCTAAATTGAAGGAGTTTAAAGAAAAAAAGAACAATTCTTAACATTGGTCAATGTGTGTAGACCAGCAAAGAAGATTTCTAATAAATGGCAAGAGTTCATGATAAAGGCTTGCTGCAATAAGGCAAGGGTCGGCATAAGCATGGTAGATGGCAATGACAACTAAAAGTGAGCCAAACTCAGACAAATTATTTACTTACACAAAACAAACTTCAAAAGATATAGTTCTAAAAGTTAAACTTGACAATAAATGTTTGTAGATTTTAAAATACTTTTAAAAAACCATAAACCTTCCTTTTTAAATTTTTTGTTAGTTATAGAAAAAATGTAATGGGAGTTAACTGTTAACAGATAAAAGGACATCATTTAAAAAGCTAATAAAAATTTATATAAAATTTGTATGATAATATGGAGAATTTATGTAAAATTTGTATGATATTACTAAAAACTTATCCAATATGACTTTATTCAATGACAGAACAATAAAAGCATTGCTTAAATCTATATATAAAGGACCAAGGCAAGTGAAAAGTAACTGTTTTCATCTATACTTAGTAACTTAGCAGTTATTAACATCAATAACATCCATTTGTATATAAAACCATCAAGCGACTGAATTTTACACATGATAACTGATTGCATGAGCATTTTTATGTGCATCAGATATTAAATCTGCAGCAGCCTTGTAGATTTGTTTTCTATGTCTTAATCTTCCCATGTAGCTTGTCCTTAATAATAACTCTTTAAAAACATGAAATATAAATGTATCCAATATGATGTTTAACCTAATTCCCTCATTCCATACTCACAGATCAATTCAAAGTTAATATATTTGCACGCAAAGTACATATATACAATATGGAATATGTGCAGAAAAATTGTTTTTAAAGAATAAGGAAGTATTTTAACATCCCATGAATCAAATTATATATTTTCATTTTATTATAGTTTCAAAAAAGGCTTTAGAACTTTCAACAACATATTTATCCATATAACCAGTATATGGTGAAAATAAATCTCAAACTGACTCAAATTAATCAAGTGAGGACTGAATAAGGGTTGTTCAATGTATTGTTTCTCAGGTTTTGTATCTATTACACACTGTACAACAGCAGGGTACTAGCAGCAGTAGGGATGCATGCTTGCTTTGCTATTAGTGTTTCAATATTTTCTTAACTGGAAGTAAATTATATTCATTCACTCTTAATGTACTACTGGTAAAAGAACCCTATATAATACATATATATAAAATACTGTTCTGGAATGGACTTTATCATTTGTTCTGAATTTCCATCTCGAACTAATAAATAAGTATATCAACCCACATCAAATTAATTTTTACGAATAAAGGTCACATTTCTTTGTAACAGCTAAGAGCCAATCTTCATAAATAAGTTGATTTTTAAAACTTAAAATAAAAATCATTGTCATTGTGGTCGTTCCAAGTTGTCATCAACCTGGGCCATAGGGTAATCTGATAGGGAAAGACACTGCGTTTGAATGGTTTCACTACCATCCTGAACATGGCTTGGATCCAACACCAGACCCCCAGAGGAAATTCCCTCATGCCCAGTCAGTGCATCATCCTCTCCATTGACAATAGGCTTGGTTCTGTCATCTCCAGTTAGATGAGAGTGAGTGACTGAACCATTGGTAGTTCTTCTCTGGGCTACAGTCGGCCAGCTGGAAGCAAGCCCTAGGATGGAAATCTGTTGCTGGGATATTTCATAGTGTTTAAGTTGGGGGATGAGGAGATCAGTGGGCAAGTGGCTGTGTGTCCTGTTGGGATCTGCCAAAACTGGCTCATAGCTGGCCCGCCGCGATGTAGGGTTGGAGGTAAACCTGGTCAACGTTCCACCTTGAAGCATCAAGGTTTGGTTCTGAAGGGGAATAAACGAGTCTGGGTCAAGGGCCCTTCCAATAAAACAGGCCTCCATGCTAGGACTCAGGTTACTAATCTTTGGTCTAGCCAGCAGCGCATCCATAGAAAGGCTTCTAGGACTTGTGTTGTGTGCGGCGGACGCATTGGTATGGAAGTACATGGCAGTGGTTGGAAGACTTTGACGTCGAAGGAACTGGTTGTCTAGACCACAAGTGTCTTTCCTCATTCCCAAATAAAAACTGAGATCCTTGCGGACAACGTAAGGGACACTGAACCTTCGGTTGTTGCCCCCAAAAGCCAGCAGCTGCTCCCCATCAGAGTTCATGGAACAGAGGACCCTATCGGCCTCGTCGAGCTCAGTTTGGTAGTGGTAGATCAAGTTAACATCATTCTCAACAACATCATCCTCTTCACTTTTTCCATCATAGTCCTCATCAGCCTGGAGATGTTTGGTGTCAGAAGGTTGAGGACAGTCCTGTGGACCATCTGTCACACTGGATGCCTGGTCCATATCTTCATCTTCTAGGACACCAGAAGACTTCTGCCTGTCTTCGGCCAGGAGTTTATCCCCTGGTTCAGAAGTAGTTTCCTCCCCTTCTCCTCCCTTGTCCATGATAGCCTTCCACTGCGCCTGGTTGTGGGCAAGGTGCTGAAGCATTTTAGCAGATAATTCAGTTCCATTGAATCTGTCCCAGGCCTTGAACAGTGGGTTGACCACAAACTGCATGAAGCCTGGGGACAATATACAATAGCAGAATTTACAAGATGTACAAGTTACAGAGGATTCTTTCATAATTCAATTTGTACAGTGAGATCTCATAATTCTATAAGCAAAATAGGCATATCATAATTCTTTGTGTTCAGTTGACATATCTTTTAAATATAAAATTGACATGTAAGTTGTGATAAAAAAAGTAAGCTTATTCATCTCACCGTGCTGTATATTAGCAACAGTGTTACCCAGGCGATCACACAGTGGTGTCACAGCTACATTTAATGCTCGCTCTGTGTCACCTGAAATGTACATATGAATTTAACCTTTAGCACACATGGTGATTAACTAACCATGATAGTGATAGAGAGTAAAGTTGAAGGTGGGTAGAAGTCCCTGAATTTGAGTCTATATGCATTTGATGTTTCCAGGGGCAAGGAAGGGGTGTGTGTCTCCATTTTGGAATAAATCCCATAAGAAAGCTTCTTTTTTATGTGTATACAAAAATGTTGTTTTTAGCTGAGGACGTAACACAATGAAGGTAATTTTCTCATTTTATATTAGTTTTTCATAGGCCTTAAAAATAGTCTAGGCCCTAAATTGTTCATAGGCCCTAAATATAAATGGTGAGTAGGCCATTAATGATTCCTAGGCCTTATATGGTTCATATACCCTAAATGATTAGTAGGCCTTAAATATTTTTCTGTAGGCTTAAACGATTTGTAAGCATTAACCCAAACTGGCCATGACTCCATGCCTGTGACCCTGACTCCATGCCTGTGACCCTGACTCCATGCCTGTGACCCTGACTCCATGCCTGTGACCCTGACTCCATGCCTGTGACTCTGAATCCATGCCTGTGACCCTGACTCGATGCCTGTGACTCTGACTCCATGCCTGTGACCCTGACTCCATGCCTGTGACCCTGACTCCATGCCTGTGACCCTGACTCCATGCCTGTGTCCCTGACTCCATGCCTGTGACTCTGAATCCATGCCTGTGGCCCTGACTCGATGCCTGTGACTCTGACTCCATGCCTGTGACCCTGACTCGATGCCTGTGACTCTGACTCCATGCCTGTGACCCTGACTCCATGCCTGTGACCCTGACTCCATGCTTGTGACTCTGACTCCATGCCTGTAACTCTGACTCCATTCCTGTGACCCTGACTCCATACCTGTGACGCTGACTCCATGCTAGTGACCCCAAATCCTGGTTTGACGATCTCAGTTATTTCTTACTGTTATTTATTACAACATAGAACATGTTTGAGATATAAAAATGACAAACAAGATAATCATTTGCCTATCCCAAAACAAACTTTTATAAAACGTAGAGCAAATAGAACAGCCCAGTAATGTTTCTACCTTGTAAAAAAAATTCTTGGCAAATTTTCCAGCTCCATCTTTGACTTATTTCCCATGGCCGGCAAGGATTGGAAATATCAGCACACTTCAAGGCTATCTGTCAATGCAATGGTTTATAAGATTAGTTGATGAAGTGCCTCAAAACTGCTGATCCTAGATCAGAGATGTCAGTCTTTAGTAATATACAAGAAACTTTTTTTAAGGTGAACACTATTAGTTGTATTTATTTAATACACAAAAAGAACATTCTCCATATGTAACTATTTAAAATCCTTTTATTTGCTTGTTAAACACTTGACTTTTCTTTATGTTTGTTAGGAAAGTTTTAATCCCAATTATTAGTCCAAGCTTAGATGATTTATGTTTTTAATTAAGGTGTATCTCTAGAAGAATAACTAAATGGCTGGACCTTTTCATATATCTTTTTGAAGATAGCTGTGGACAACCCTGAACTAATTGAATAGCAGCACATTTTTATTGCTTGACAGAGATGTTACCATCACACAACAGGGCAAAATATGAGCTCCCCTAAATTGACAACATACCTGAAGCATGAAAAGTCTGTGCTCATCATTGCTACCATACTGAAACTCTCCACTCTCGATGTAGCGCTGCAAAGACACAAGACATGAACTATCTAGGCCTACAAACTGACTGGTCCTCTTGGTAAATAAGTTTCATCTTAATCAGTCACCAACATTGGTCAATAAGTTCAATCTTTATCAGCCATCAACATTGGTCAATAAGTTTCATCTTAATCAGTCACCAACATTGGTCGATAGTCAATACGCTTCATCTTAATCAGTCACCAACAGTGGTCAATACGTTTCATCTTAATCAGTCACCAACAGTGGTCAATACGTTTCATCTCAATCAGTCACCAACATTGGTCAATACGTTTCATCTTAATCAGCCATCAACATTGGTCAATAAGTTTCATCTTAATCAGCCATCAACATTGGTCAATAAGTTTCATCTTAATCAGCCATCAACATTGGTCAATAAGTTTTATCTTAATCAGCCACCAACATTGGTCAATAAGTTTCATCTTAATCAGCCACCAACATTGGTCAATACATTTCATCTTAATCATCCACCAACAGTGGTCAATAAGTTTCATCTTAATCAGTCACCAACAGTGGTCAATACGTTTCATCTTAATCAGCCACCAACAGTGGTCAATACGTTTCATCTTAATCAGTCACCAACAGTGGTCAATACATTTCATCTTAATCAATCACCAACAGTGGTCAATACGTTTCATCTTAATCAGTCACCAACAGTGGTCAATACGTTTCATCTTAATCAGTCACCCACAGTGGTCAATACGTTTCATCTTAATCAGCCACCAACAGTGGTCAATACGTTTCATCTTAATCAGTCACGAACAGTGGTCAATAAGTTTCATCTTAATCAGCCACCAACAGTGGTCAATAAGTTTCATCTTAATCAGTCACCAACAGTGGTCAATAAGTTTCATCTTAATCAGTCAACAACAGTGGTCAATAAGTTTCAACTTAATCAGCCACCAACAGTGGTCAATAAGTTTCATCTTAATCAGTCACCAACAGTGGTCAATAAGTTTCATCTTAATCAGCCACCACAAGTGGTCAATACGTTTCATCTTAATCATCCACCAACATTGGTCAAAAAGTTTCATCTTAATCAGCCACCAACATTGGTCAAAAAGTTTCATCTTAATCAGTCACCAACAGTGGTCAATACGTTTCATCTTAATCAGCCATCAACATTGGTCAAAAAGTTTCATCTTAATCAGCCACCAACAGTGGTCAATAAGTTTCATCTTAATCAGCCACCAACAGTGGTCAAAAAGTTTCATCTTAATCAGCCACCAACAGTGGTCAATAAGTTTCATCTTAATCAGCCACCAACAGTGGTCAATAAGTTTCATCTTAATCAGCCACCAACAGTGGTCAATAAGTTTCATCTTAATCAGCCACCAACAGTGGTCAATACGTTTCATCTTAATCAGCCACCCACAGTGGTCAATAAGTTCCATCTTAATCAGCCACCAACAGTGGTCAATAAGTTTCATCTTAATCAGCCACCAATAGTGGTCAATACGTTTCATCTTAATCAGCCACCCACAGTGGTCAATAAGTTTCATCTTAATCAGCCACCAACAGTGGTCAAAAAGTTTCATCTTAATCAGCCACCCACAGTGGTCAATAAGTTTCATCTTAATCAGCCACCCACAGTGGTCAATAAGTTTCATCTTAATCAGCCACCGACAGTGGTCAATAAGTTTCATCTTAATCAGCCACCAACAGTGGTCAATAAGTTTTATCTTAATCAGCCACCCACAGTGGTCAATAAGTTTCATCTTAATCAGCCACCCACAGTGGTCAATAAGTTTCATCTTAATCAGCCACCAACAGTGGTCAATAAGTTTCATCTTAATCAGCCACCAACAGTGGTCAATAAGTTTCATCTTAATCAGCCACCAACAGTGGTCAATAAGTTTCATCTTAATCAGCCACCAACATTGCCAACACATAGATGTAAAGTCCAGGAAGTACTTACATTAAACTTGAGTAAAAACTCTTGCTGCCTGGTAATATCGGTGGCTAATATCAAAGATTTGAGCTGCAGGATAAAACATTGTCTGAAATATAAGAAAATACACTCAACAACATTCTGGTACATGGTCATCATAGTCATTTCTTTCAAATTCATCAAGGATGTTATCAGTCGGAGAACTAAAAAATGTATGCAGAAGTTAGTGCATTAATAGAAATGTCACACTAGTAAATGTGCGGGTCTGTTGAAAGACACTGTGTTTCTCAGTGAAACCAGATCTTGTAGTAAGCTTGAAATTGCTAATGACAAAGGGAGTTAATTCTGAATGGTTGAGAGCATCTTTAACTTTAATAGCATTGATTGCAAGTGGGGTGGGGGCGGCTAGAGAAAAGTGAAAGATTATAATGTTAATTCAGAATTTATCAGGGATAACTTTGGTTTGCATCTATTTTGTCTTATTTTCTAGTGTGAGTGGATGCCCTTCTTGTAGCATAGAACATTGTGCAAGGCATGTTCATCACTGAGGAGGTTTTGAGCTAATACTAGTAGTGTATTATGTGAGGAGGTTTTGAGCTAATACTAGTAGTGTAATATGTGAGGAGGTTTTGAGCTAATACTAGTAGTGTATTATGTGAGGAGATTTGAGCTAATAATAGTAGTGTATTATGTGAGGAGATTTTGAGCTGCTACTAGTAGTGTATTCTTGTATTTGTTAGTGTCTTTTCTCTGCCTCAAATAAAAGCAGTCAAGACGTGAGAGAATAAACAAAACTGAATGGTGCAATCCAGCAAAATTCCTATTAGTACCTTGATAGCCCTACTATCTACATTAAATTGGTGTAATCCAGCAGATGTACAATTTACCTTTGCTGTGAAGAAAAATGAGAGAGGAGGCCTGATTCTGCCAAAAGGCCCACAGCAGACCGCCAGTGATGATTCTCTAAAACTGAGCTGTTCTGTGGACAATTATTGGAGATCTCACTCATTGTTGACAGCATAATCACATGATGAGCTCAACACTAAGCATAAACTTATAACAGAGATTTATATTCCATAGTCTTGTTAATGACTAATACTGTAATTTTGTTTCTTTTGTCCGCAGTATGACAATTTACAACTCACAAACTATCAGTAACACTTTACAGCTCCCAAAATATTAGCAACAATTTACAACTCACGGCTCTGTAAGTCATCAAAAGCTAAATTTATTTTTAATCTCTAATTTATTTCACTAATAATATACTATTATAGGAGCATGCTTTCTTCATTGAGACAATTACATTTCATTATGATTGTTACAATAGGCTCTGCTTAAACAGAAGATATTGACTTCAAATTTCCCTTCTAGTTTGTTCAAATTTTAACTCAGGGATTTTTATCATGATCCTATTGAGTAGTCAAGTGGACACCAAATTTTAGTGTCAGGTGATTGAAATTAACAGAGATTTCTGGTTGTTCAAATATCCATGTTGATGATTCGTAGTGACACAATGTTTGAGTGTGCTGCATGTTTCCATTAAAAACATTTCTATTTTTTAATATACAGTGAAAACTGGAAACAATGCAAAATTGGAGGTATTTTTCAGGGATGGAGCTATTTGCAGATTCAACCAGTGTTAAGAAATTATTTTATGTTGGGGTTGCCACATATGCAAAGGGACATGCTTATTTCAAGGTTCATTATTTCCAGGTTTCACTGGATTTTGAATATTTTAAAGCTTGGTTATTTTCTTTGTAAACTATTGTAGTCAGGTTTACAGAAAGAGATTTGATTGAAAGAATGCCTAGCTTCTAACATGGTAGGATAGGTTTAAGCATGAATGTCAAAGTTACATAAGGTGATTATTGTAGCTTACTTAACAATACATTTATCAATATGTTGCTGTGTGGCCACTGGAGGGTGGGGTGTGTGTGTTTGTTTTGATTGTTGACACACTTTAACACTGCTCGCAGCACCAAAACCTGTAGCCTAGTGGTGAATAGAGCACAGTCACAGAATCCTGGGAATCTCAACATCTAGGCCACCTTACCGGCTTTATCACATTACAAGGCCCTAATGCAGCAGAGGTGCCATATCTATGAATACTAGCTGTAAACATGCAACTTCTAGGACAGACTCTGCAAAACGTCCAGAAATTATAAATAAAGATTTCTGTATTTGCTTGTGCTTGCTGAGTTAGCAAGTGCGAAGAGGCCGCGTAATCCTGCCGACAACCCCAAAAACTGTAGTCATCGTGACCACACCATTACAAATATATAGCAATAAATTGTGGGACAGACTGGGTAAAAAGATTACCTGATAGAGTGCTGCCAAATGATTGCATGTCACTATGAGAAATGTATTGTTAACCCCTGGATGGTCAAGGTCGTGTGTAAGTGCAGCAATAAGGGCAGCCATTTTATCAAGGTCAGAAGTAGATTCAAACACCTAGGATACACACATAAGGATTATTGAGTGGAATTTTGTTTTAAAAAGTACATTTAGCTCTGCTTATATTTTAATAATGATGATGCTCTTGATATTGTTGACAATTCAATCTGTTATGTGTCCTAGAATTGAAATTAGTGGTATAGTCATAATAGAAATAGTATCAGGGTGCTTTGCATGTTTCATGAGACTTGCATCATAATTAATATATTTAAGGTTAATTAAAGCTAATTTCAAAACTAAGTTATTAGGATGTGGTACCCTGAATATGATTTTCTGCATACAAAAATTACACTAATTTTTTGAAAATCTTTGTGAATCAATGAGACACATCAAAGTTGCTTTTGATAAATGTTGTAATGTGTCATTTTGTCAAGGATTTATTATGTCATTTATGTCAGAGCCATCAGCCTTGGAGTTAATTACCAAATTAAAAAAGAATTCTTGATGATATAATGATAGAGAGGACAAGGTTACCTTTTTCTCCTGAAGATAGCAGTGCATAGATTGGGTCACATCAGCAGCATGGATAGCGTTATGATATGGATTGCTTTCATGGTAGTTGTCCTCTACCAGATCTGTTCATGAGGGAAATCAATAAAGTAAATTTATCAACTGAAAACATTTTAAACTCAGATCCTTGTCAATTATTGACACATGCTTTTTTCCTGAAAAAGTGACCAAGTCAATTTTATTTTCTTCCAAAATTGAGTTATTGTTCCTGTTGTTTCCTGAGGGTAAATGCCATACTTAATCTAGTTATGTTAAAATGGGAAAAAAGTAATAATTCCCATATTTTCAATCTAATTTTCTTGTGACATATCTCCCTTTTGAAAAAATTATATTCAGCTGTACTTTTGAATACAAAATTATTCCAAAGTAAACTAAAATAAACCAATCAAGCCTTCCAATTTTAATAATACTGTAGAAATAAAGGGAAAAAAAAGCCTTCAATGCTTTCATATAGTAATTATACTTAATTTCCATAGAATTTCATTTATGGGTCTTCATTTTTGGCATAAAATCAACTCTTCATGTTCAATTGTGTCTGAAACCTACTTAGAAAGTTCATGAGACGAAGAGCCTCTAGCTGAAAGGTCCTGATGAGATGATAGTTCTGGAATAAATGGTAGGCAACTTGGAAGAGAGCTCGGCCTGTGTTGAGACAAAAAAGCCTGATATGTGAGCAATTGTTAAGATTTATGCAGCAAGCTAACGTAAAAGAACAGTGCTTTATCTAGGTCCTGCTGATATCAAAGAGTATTTCATAGCCTAGGAAACACCCTACCTCCTGAGAGAGAATTCAAGCTGAAGATATTGAAGTCCCATTCCCCAATATGATTCAGTGATAGCTGAGGATTAGAACATACAATTTATTTATAGAACTTATGTAAACATTTACAACTGCAAATTAATAACAGTCAACATGGTGACCGCTTAATCTAGTCTCATTAAGTTGTCATTAGAATCATCTCAACACGTTTTCTCTCACCCTTGCTGGAGACCCATAAAAGTCATCAACAAGAAGCCGACCTTCATCACTGAGTTTAGTCTCTGGATGGCGCTGCCAATGGGATTTACTCATGCTCAACAGACGTGACCTGAACTTAATTTTGTGCCCAGGCGCCAGCAACTCTGATGGTATAAACAGATTTTAAAACAAGTTTAAACAAGAATACCAAGGCTGGTGACCAAGAATTACAAAATTGCATGTGATTCCAAACTCAGATTTATAAATAATGAGAACAAAACTAATGGTTAATATATCATGATTTATAAACTTCTGGTAAAATATCATGATTTATAAACTACTGTTAAAATACCATGATTTATAAACTACTGGTAATATATCAATGGATTTATAAACTACTGGTAAAATATCATTCATAAACTTAAGATGTAGAAATATTTATTTTGAACTTGTGAAATTTAGGGTCAGCATTTCCTCAATTGTGAAACAATTTGACTTTAAAACCTTAAATTACAACAATTATTAACCTTATCTCATTTGTAATAACCAAAGTTCCCCTACGCACTGGTCGGTAAACTCATCAGACAAAAGAGCCAAAAATCAGCAGCAGGATGATTAAAAAAAATTTTGAAAGCCAAATTCCTTTTCTAGAACCTGTCAAGAACCAAGTTTTTCAGAGTCAAAACCGATATGTGGCCGACTCGCACTGAGATCACTAAAGAGCCACATGGGGCTCACGAGCCACTGTTTGCCAACCACTGCCCTAGCGACATAAAAATAAAGCAAGCCTCACTTTTAAAAAATACTTCGAAATTGTATTTTAAAAAAAAATAAGAATGCACTCCAAATAATGTCAAAGACAGAAGTAGAAGATTCCTCCTTGGGAATCAATGATCAGAAAAGTATAATGATGTTTTTTTAAGAACAACTCCTAACCATACAACCTTTTATTATTTCTAAGATATAATTTCAAATAAACATTACTTAAAACAGCTTGTTGATTTATATCAATTATAAATTCTTTATGAAATATTTATTTTTCTCCCGAAGGGGAACCCATTTTTCTTTGCTCACACTAGACTCTAACTGGTTTTATCTTTTTTTCAAGCAAATTACACCTTGTTATGTCTTTAGCATGTTTTGAACCAAGAAGGCCCCCGACATCTGACGTCAGCAAAATATGTTTGGCTGTGTTGTCTTTATAGTGGTCTTTTCATCCCACACGGGTGGATAGCTCTATTCTGACCTTTTCATCCTACTAGTGTGGATAGCTCTATTCTGACCTTTTTATCCTATTAGTGTGGATAGCTCTATTCTGACCTTTTCATCCTACTAGTGTGGATAGCTCTATTCTGACCTTTTCATCCTACTAGTGTGGATAGCTCTATTCTGACCTTTTCATCCTACTAGTGTGGATAGCTCTATTCTGACCTTTTTATCCTACTAGTGTGGATAGCTCTATTCTGACCTTTTCATCCTACTAGTGTGGATAGCTCTATTCTGACCTTTTTATCCTACTAGTGTGGATAGCTCTGATATGAACAATTTTAAAACACCAGATTTGAAAGCAAAGACCATCAGATTATTCTTCAATTGTTTAAAAGTTGTAAAATACATAAAGCCACCCATGATGTCCATGACATAGGCCCATATTCACTAGGCTTAGCAAAGCAGATCATTTACATATAAATATTGCAGGTGATGCCAGGTAGGCAGAAGATGTCAAGAGACAGATAGGCAGAAGATGTCAAGAGACAGATAGGCAGAAGATGTCAAGAGTCGGGTACGTAGATGATGTCAAGGAACAGGTATGGAGCATTTCAAAAAGTATGTGAGGATAACTTACTTTCTAACATTTTCTTGTCAGACTCTGCCAAGGTCTGCCCAGTATCTGGCACACCATGTGGCACTGTCTGCATCTTGACATCACCTAAGGAGGAGATACTTTTTTTTTAAAAAAACATCTTGCATTTGTAAGGGACCTCAAGGTTGCTTTTCTTCATAACCCATAAGTATTTTTTTTATCACATTCGAGCCAATAAATCATCATAATGAAGTGGGTGAGGGTAATGTGAGCTTTTCCCCATTTTTTAAAAGAAAATCCGAGTAGCCAAGAAAATGTTATTAAAAGAAAGTAATTAATCCAATGTTTTGGGTCATCTACTTAATCATCATCATTGAACTCAAATTAAAAGTATCAGTGTGTCAAATTCAAATAATAATTAGAGCACACAAAATGTACTTTGTAGTTGTACGAAAATGTAGGCTTGCTATTGCATTGTATTGCACAATTATTGTAAAGACTTTCGTGTACAGGTACCTATAGCTTAATAAGAGCTGGAGAGGCTGTACACGAGGCACTTGTCTAATTTCCTGGACATGTTTATATAACAGGTTCTGGACGAGTGTAGCGCCCCCCCCCTCCCAGGTCAACTATATATTAATTTCGACAAAGCCTCTATCTGACAATGGCACAAAACATCTACAGTCCTCTGTCCGATTTTTAAAAACGTATAAGGTGTTAATTCTTTCCTTCGTAAGCCCTTAATAGTTGGTAACAGAGGCGTAGCGAGGGTGTTTGGCGCCCGGGGACAAGATTCGCGCCCGGGGAAAGATCAATTTTAAAGCGCCTCTTTTTCTTTTTTTCAACTCTCAAGCCCATTATTTTCATCAATAAAATAATATCAAAGCACATTTGGCGCCCCTAACTAGCTGGCGCCCGGGGACATCTGCCCCCTGCCCCCCCTCACTACGCCTCTGGTTGGTAAGCCCAGGGCAATGTGCCTAACAGACAAATGACATACTGGGCCACGTGGATAAAGCGGCCTGGTTGGCACGTGCTCAGCCCATTTCGTTATTAAATCTACAGAGACGTCATTTTGTCCAATAAGTATTCCAATTTGTTAAATTGGACAATGACAATTTTTGTGACTATTGCATATTATAGTGTGGGTCAGAATCAGTTTGACAAAGGTAGGGTTTCCAGATGGTATTCAAAAGGAGGACACATATTTACTTTTCGGGGAAAAATTCCTAATTTGACATTAAAATGTCCCCCTTTTAGGAAGCTTTTGTTCAGAGTAAAAATTAAAGCATTGTTTCACCGTTCACTACACGTAAGCACTATTTTTTTCAACCGCTCTCTGTATTTCAAGCCAACTTGCCATCTGTAGAGCAAGAAGAGAACCCAGTACTGGAAATTTTGAATCCATATTGCGGTTGCTGCCAAGCAGAATTGAAGACAAATTTTGTTCCCCTTAAAAGTGAAACAGCTTGTTCTTCAAATCAATGAAACAGCTTGTTCTTCAAATCAATGAAACAGCTTGTTCTTCAAATCAATGAAACAGCTTGTTCTTCAAATCAATGAAACAGCTTGTTCTTCAAATCAATGAAACAGCTTGTTCTTCAAATCAATGAAACAGCTTGTTCTTCAAATCAATGAAACAGCTTGTTCTTCAAATCAATGAAACAGCTTGTTCTTCAAATCAATGAAACAGCTTGTTCTTCAAATCAATGAAACAGCTTGTTCTTCAAATCAATGAAACAGCTTGTTCTTCAAATCAATGAAACAGCTTGTTCTTCAAATCAATGAAACAGCTTGTTCTTCAAATCAATGAAACAGCTTGTTCTTCAAATCAATGAAACAGCTTGTTCTTCAAATCAATGAAACAGCTTGTTCTTCAAATCAATGAAACAGCTTGTTCTTCAAATCAATGAAACAGCTTGTTCTTCAAATCAATGAAACAGCTTGTTCTTCAAATCAATGAAACAGCTTGTTCTTCAAATCAATGAAACAGCTTGTTCTTCAAATCAATGAAACAGCTTGTTCTTCAAATCAATGAAACAGCTTGTTCTTCAAATCAATGAAACAGCTTGTTCTTCAAATCAATGAAACAGCTTGTTCTTCAAATCAATGAAACAGCTTGTTCTTCAAATCAATGAAACAGCTTGTTCTTCAAATCAATGAAACAGCTTGTTCTTCAAATCAATGAAACAGCTTGTTCTTCAAATCAATGAAACAGCTTGTTCTTCAAATCAATGAAACAGCTTGTTCTTCAAATCAATGAAACAGCTTGTTCTTCAAATCAATGAAACAGCTTGT